CTCTCACTCTTCCTCTCTCTCTCACTCTTCCTCTCTCTCTCACTCTTCCTCTCTCACACACTCTCTCAACAAGACACAAAAAAAAGACTCACCGGCAAATACATCTCCCCACTCCTCGCCCGTCCCCCATGCACAAAAACCGCCGTCTTCACCCCCCCCAACCCTCCTCCCCCCATCCCCTCCACCCCCGTCCCAGCCGCAAACCCCTTCAAATCCTCCCACCCATTCCCCCCCCTAACAACCTCCCCGACCTCCCGTTCCTCCACCTCCCTCATCACCCCGCCCACAACCGCCCTCTCCCCCGTAACCTCCACCTGACTAACCACCCACGCGGCGCCCTCCCTATCCAAACACGCCCCGAACCCGAGAACTCCATCATCGTCTGCTCCGCCGGCGTAGGCGCGCAGGAGGATGGCCCAGGCGGTGAGGATGACTGTTTCTTGGGAGAGGGAGTGTTGCGTCGCGGCGTCGGTGAGGTTGCCGGCGTCGACGGCCATGACGGCTTTGGTGCGGGCATATTGACTGGCTCCGACTGATTGCGATTGAGGGGTTGGCAGGTCGAAGAAGAGAGGGGGGGAGGTGGAGAGGGCTTGGAGGGCAGGTTGGCGCTGGGCCCAGAAGGTTTGGCGGTTCATTTTGGTGTTGTGATGGGTATCAATATCAAGATGATGAAGGGTAAGGGTAAGTGGTGTTGAGATTAAGGGATATGGGAGTGCGGTGAAGTCAGTAGGGTGAAGCTGTAATAGTGAGTAATAGCGAGTAAACCTGTAGGTGAGTATTCCAACTGCAAAGTGAGTATCAAACGAGATATCAAAACTGTCAGTTATTCAACGTAGGGAATTACCAAAGTGAACACGCCTAGTCGTTCGACCAAGCGCAGTTCAGATGTCGTTGCGGCCAAATCGGGTCGCGGCCGAGTAGTCGCAAGTAGTGGCTCGTAAGTCTCCCTCGGATCGATAGGACAATGTCCGCGCCGATCAATGAAAGCTGCCGGTTTATCACGACGACATCCGACTTGGTCTGTCCGAGCCGTCTAACTAACGTTAAATCGAACACTTCGCGTCAAGACCGTGAAGTGAATAAGATGGGAGCTGTCCAAAAAGACCAGGGTCCTGAATCACTCCAACCTGAGGCCCACACGAGGGCAGCTGGGAGCTGGGCAAGCTGCACATCAAGTTCCCAAACCCCTGGACACTGGACACCCACCAAAGAGCCTCTCGTTCCTCGCTCCACACTCCACAGAAAGTCTGCACCTCGCACAGCGCGCCAATATTGGGCCTAACCCCGTCCTCCACAATCTTCCCTTCTCCATCACCGGTCCATCTTCCCCGACCATCACTCCATCTCCAACCCGACTCATCGGGCTCCTTGGCTGGCATGACCGCCAACAATTCTCCCGTCTTACCCCCCGTCGTCTCCATCAGCCTGACTGGCCCATCCCCTCAGGGTCCCCATCATGGTCCCATCAAGGTCCCATCGAGCTGTCGTCCCATTTGTCGCGTGTCCCCACTGTTACACAGCCAAAACATCTGGTTGGCTGCAGCTACTGTCGCATTATGCCGTTTTCGTACAACCATGGTATCTTTCCCATGCCCAGTTGGGTGGCCGGGGGAGTGTGTGGGTGAGTGGGTCGGCTGGGCCGTCGGGACCTAAATGTAACGACACTGTTTTGTTGGTCTATTTCCCAGTGAGTGAAGAGACGAGACAAGAATGCTCATGCAAGTCTGCCCTGTCGGTCACGGTCACAAACCCGACAGGCAAACAGAAAGCTTGAAATGAAGGTGTAGCCAACACACAAACCGACGCTCATCTTTGCGATTTGCATATAGGATTTGCATCTGGATTTCCATCTTGCCAGACCATAAATGAGCTGAACCCGCTGTTTGCACTTCCATGAGCAGCCAGCCGAAATTTGTTACGCTCGCCAAGACACAACCCCGCAGCCCTCTGTTCCTCGGAAATGAGCGTCTGCGGAACTTCTCGCTACCACCCGTCTCGACACCTCGCTCCTTCGTGGCTGGTCGCACAGCAGCAGCGGTCGGGCCCGACAGTTGGGTTCGTGAGACATGACCTCACGGCGAAGGATCAAAGCTCACAATTTGTGTTTGCCCCGAGCTTGCTCTAAATTTACCGCGCCGAGTGTGCTTATTTTCGTCCGTCTCGCACACCGACAAATAAAACCCAACAAAAACCCTGAAAATGAAGGATTCAGCCGTATCCGTCGCAACAGCACGTGTGATGTGCAAAATGCGCAAAATCCGGTCCTTCTCCCGGCTGAGCCACGGCCGGTCCGTCGAGCGCCGGGTGTTGGGCGAGCTTGTGGGACGGAAGTCGGAGTGATGCGGCCCAAAGCTTACGCTTGGCTTCTGGCGGCGACTGCTGTTTTTGGTCCGATGTGCGCCGTGGGGTTGGGGGGAACCCTGCTGTGCTACCAATCACAGCACCCCACATCAAAATAAGCTTTTTATGCCCCACCTTGAAGCTGAGCCGGAACTGGAAAGTTGTTTCGGCAGTGATCTGCATGTCTGACTTGGGCCAATCGCCACAACTCGCAAACCCACTTTTCCTCTTCCAACACCGACCTTGACCAACCTCATGCTAGCACGAAGCAAGCACTCCTACTATTCACAGAAATGTACTAGTGTAGGGCTCAGTGAGCTCGCAAGTCACCCAAGCAAATGGAAGCAACGCAGGCCCACCGCATTTCGCCAAAAATCCATCTCCCACGATGTCGCAATTGTCACCCACACGCGTTACCCACACGGGTTAAACTTCCCACGGGCCACACGCGTTCGAGTTCCCCATTCTCGAAATCCCCGGGGTCTCAGAGCCCCGACGACACCCGGGCTGACACGCCACGCCTCACCGTTGCGAGCCGAGTTCGCCAGGGTCTGCTTCATGCTGCCCTGTGGGCTACCAATGCGGCTGGCCATGGAAGCTTCGAATGTAACCGCTTGAAAGGCCTCTCGTCTCTTTTTAGTAGTTTTCACGAAGAAAATGTCCTCCTTTTCTCCGACCATGACAGGAGAGGAGAGGACCGTCCTGTCATGAACTTGCACACTCGACAAGGCCCACCCCGACGGCGCAGCTCCTTGCCCTTTCGGCCGTGCCCGGCCCGCCTGATTAGTCCATAATTCTGTCCACACACTGTCCACACAAAAACACAGGAAGCTGTCCCGAAATACATCCCTGTGCAGGACGTTGCAAGCTGTTGGCCTTGTTCCCATGTCAAGCGGGTCGCCTGCGAGTGAGACCTGAGGCTGGGCAGGCAAGCAGGCCCCGTGCAGCACAGCGCAGCGCAGCAGGCCATTCAACTCTGTAACCCATACGAGTCGTCCATACCCCCCGATCTCCAGCTCCAACCCTCGCATATTTTTGTCTCTGTTGCCTCTTGGTGTCTCCACTTGCCACTGGAGCGATTCTTCTACCCCCCTTGCTCGATCGACGATACTCCCGCACGACGCAACAAGCAACACGGACGTTCCAAAACAAAAATAGATCCCGTCAACTCGCCTCACCAAGAGTCCAAGACACACACCACACCAGACACACCCCCTCTGGCGTCTACACTACATCATTGGCCTCCAGCATCACGCGTGGCTCGGACCAAGCTTACCGGCACGCCAGCACGTTCGTTCTCCATCGCCACGAGTGGTGGCTTGGTTCGCTTCGTTTCGTCCGTTTGGCTGGGCTCGCTCGCTCCTGCTCCTTCTCGCCATGCGCATGCCCGAGCTGTTGGCAACCAACCTGATCTGATCGGTGGGAATCCCCTAACTAACTCAAACTCATCAAACTTTAACGTCTCGTTTTCTTTCGGCGCATTTTTCTCACTTTTGGATCTGTTTTCGATCTTTCTTTTCGATCTTCTTTCGGCCCCTTTTCGCGCTTGCCCTTGCATCTGAGATCTTCTTTCCCGTCTTCCCCGTTGACCCCCCAGATCTTTTTTTTGTCTTTCCCAGATCGCAATCCGACCAGGGAATGATCGCCGTGTCCCGCAGCGACGGCCGGAACAGCCGCTAACCCCAAGCTCCCTGGACCAGGACTCCATTTTCAACCTCATTCCTACCACCTAGTACGTATCTATCTCATTTCATTTCCCTACACTATCTCCTAGTGTGCTTCCCTACACTACCTCATGCTAGTAGCCTAAGTCGTCCAGTACACTAACACACGCAGATCGTCCTCCCACCCATCCCCATCGGCGCATCTGCAAAGATGGACCCGATGGACTGCGACGTCGTGGACAGCACCTGGGGCCCCTGGGCCGGGCCCAACTGTCGCGGCGGGCTGGACTTTACGCTCACCTTTGAGGAGGCCATTCTCACGATTCTGCCGACGGGGTTGATGATTCTGGGTGCGGTCGCCCAGATTGTGTTTTTGATCGGCCGGCCACGGGTCGTGGCCAATGGGTTTTTGATGTGGGTTAAGCAGGTAGGTCTCATCTCATGCCGTCTTGTTTGGTGGGGTTATATGAAAAAAACATGATGAAAACGATTATAAAAATGAAAATTCAAAAATAGATACTAACACATTCCAGGGCCTCACAATCGTCCTCGGCCTCCTCAAACTCGCCGTCATCATGCTCTGGGCCATCCCCGGCACCGGCGGCGCCCCCCGAACCAACCTCACCCTCCCCGCCGCCGCCGTCAACTTTGTCGGCGTCTTCCCCCTCTCCGCCCTCAGCTACTTCGAGCACACCCTCAGCGTGGCGCCTAGTTTCCTGATCGAGCTCTACCTGCTCCTCACTATTCTCTTTGATGTCGCCCGGCTGCGGACGCTGGGGTTGATGCCGGAGGGCTCGCATCGGTCGTTGGCTGCGGCGGAGGGGGTCGCGTTGGCGGTAAAGATTGCGTTGATGCTGGTTGAGGCGGCGAGGAAGGATCGGTTGATTGCGCCGGAGGTGAAGAGGAAGCATACGCTGGAGCAGTTGTCGGGGTTTTATGGACGGTCGATGTTTTTCTGGTTGGGTGCTACTCTGTGGAATGGTATATCCCCCTTACCAACTCTTCCCCATGTAAACAAACCAAACCCAAGAAAAAACACTAATTAACACAAACAGGCTTCACCCGCTACCTAGTAGCCACCGACCTCTCCGGCCCGCGCGACGAAGAATCCGCCGAGCTCCTCCGCGAGCGTTTCCGCGCCACCTGGGCCTTCAACATGTCCAAAACCCACCCGACCGCCAACCCCCCCGCCAAATCCGCCCTCTTCACCACCTTACTCACCTCCATGCCCACCAAATTCCTCGGCCCCGTCATCCCGCGCCTCGTCATCGTCGCTCTCACCCTCACCCAACCCATGCTTTTGGAACGGCTCATCACCTTCGTCCAAGGCGGCGCCGTCCACCCCGGCGAGCAGAGCGTGATTTACTCCGAGCGGAGTGACGTCGGGTATGCACTGATAGGCGCCTTCGCGATACTGTACATCCTGATGGCGTTGTTCAACGCGTGGTATGCGCACGCGTGTAATAAGCTGGCGTTGGAGATGCGGAGTGTGTTGATTGATAGTTGTTATCGGCAGTTGTTGAAGATGAGGTTGGCTGCGCTGGATGCGGGGAAGGCGGCGACGCTGATTAATGTGGATATGCAGCATATTATGGAGGGGAGTAAGATTTTGCATGATATTTGGGCGAGTTTGATTACGGTCGCTGTGGCGGTTTATTTGTTGTTTTTGAAGATTCAGATGGCGTAGGTTCTTTTTGTTACTCCGTTTTTCTTGTTAAGTTGGGGATGGGGCTGACGGGTTTTAGGTTTCTTGCGCCGCTGCTTTGCACGCTTGGTAAGTGCTTTATGTTTCCCTTCTTGATTTTGAGGGAAATAAACAACACTAACACACTCAGTCATGATGATCCTCGCTGGTATCTGCAGTGCACCCCTTGGCCCTCGTCAAGTCGCCTGGCTCGCGGCCACCGAAGCCCGCGTCAAGTCGACCATGTTCATGATCACCGGCTTTAAGGAGGTCAAGATGCTGGGTCTGTCGCCGGCCTATACGCAGAACCTGCAGGAACTGCGGTCGACTGAGGTGCTCCTTGGACGGTATGTCTATATCTTGCTCTGATAACTCGATATTCTCCTGTACAACAGTTCTAACGATATGCAGACGCTTCCGCCGCATCTTATCCATCATCATTACTCTTTGTAAGCCCACTGACGCCTGCTTTCTGTAAGCACCGCAGCTAATAAAGTAGCCGCCGCCTCCACCGAACTCTCCATCCTCGTCGCCTTCGGCGGTTTCGCCATCATCAGCAACATCCAAGGCATCCCGCTCACCTTCCAAACCCTCTTCGCCTCCCTCGCCCTCCTCCGCATCTCCCTCGACCCCCTCTTCCTCTTAATCCAAGGCACCCCCGCCCTCGTCTCCATGTTCAAATGTCTCGGCCGCGTCCAAGACCTCCTCTACGACGACCGCCTCGTCGACTCCGAACAACTCGACCACAACGGTCCCCACGGCGGCCTCGGCTTCAGTCACCCTCCCAACCCCTACGGCCACTCCTCCGTCTCGTCCACCGCCGAACTGATGAAAAACGCCCATCAGATGATGGATCCGTACCAGGAGAATTTTCAACAACAGGAACCGGGCCAGGAGCCGGGGGTTCCGTTGTTGGAGGTGCAGGAGCATCATCTGCAGCCGCATGTGTCGCAGCATTTGCATGGGCATGGGCATTATCGGTATAATAGTGGGGTGGATATGACCGAGTTGGTGGAGATTCTGGATGCGTCGTTTTGCTGGAAGAGTAAGGAGGATGTGCCGGCTATGTCGGTGCCCGCGCTGACTATTGCGCCGGCGTCGTTTACCGCTGTTATTGGGCCGTACGTTTTTTTTTTTTTCTCTTTTTCTTCTCTTTCTCTACCCTTTTTTTTTGCTTTGTGTTTTTTAAGGGCGAAGTACTAACAACACCAGCGTCGGCTCGGGCAAATCCACCCTCCTCAAAGGCATCCTCGGCGAGATCGAGCACATCTCCGGGTCCCGACAGATGCGCCGCGGTCTGCGTGTGGCTTTTTGTGACCAAGAGCCGTGGCTGATGGACCAGAGCGTGCGGGAGAACATCATCGGGTCGCGGGCGTTTGAGCCCGAGTGGTATGCGCGCGTTATCGATGCGTGTGCCATGGCGCCTGATATCGAGGGGTTTGCGGAGGGTGATGAGAAGAATGTGGGCAGTGGTGGCTCGGCGTTGAGCGGGGGGCAGAAGAGTCGTGTTGTGAGTTTCTTTTCTTTTTTCCCTCCCTCACCTTTCCGCCGTGTCCAAAACGATTTTAACAAACACAGGCCCTGGCCCGTGCGGTGTACTGCCGTCCCGAACTCCTCCTCATGGACGACATCTTCAGCGGCCTCGACCGCAAATCCTCCACCCACATCTTCACATCCGTCTTTGCCGAGGACGGGCTTCTCTCCAAACTCGGCTGCGCGGCCGTCCTCGTCACCCATTCCAGTACGTCCCTTGTATATCCCTATCCTACTGTCGTACGCTAATAATATAGCCCAATTCCTCCCCCGCTTCAACACCATCCTCCTCATCAACAACGCCACCATAACCCACCGCGGCACCTACGAAGAACTGCTCGCCTCCGGCGCCCTCGACGAATCCGTCCTCCCCCACGCCTCCTCCGGCTCCGGATCCCCAACCACCGCCAAACCGGCCGCCAGCGCAGGCGACTCAGTCGAGGTCACCAGCGACGGCAAGATTGTGCTCAAGAATGCGCCCCTCGATACGGAGGAGACGCAGGCGAGTCGCGCGCCGTCGGAGTGGGCCGTGTATGGGTACTTTTTGAAGTCGTGTGGGGTGATGGGGATTACGCTGTTTTTTGTGCTGGCGGGGGTGTTGGCTGGGGAGCGGTCTTTTGAGAGTGAGTTTCTCTTTTCTATTTATCTATTTTGTTGAGAACGAGACAGGACTGACAGCTGTGCAGCGGTGTGGCTTAAAATGTGGGCCGAGGATCCAAACCCGTCGCTGAGCTACTATATTGGGGTCTTTACGGGTCTTATCGTGGGAGGTGTGTCGCTATTGGGTGGGATTTGCGTGTAAGTGTTGTATCTCTCGGCTTGGTGGATGAAGTGTAACTGACAGCACAGCTTCTTCTTTGACGTCCTTCTCCCGTCGTCGTCGCTCAAGTTGTACTTTGCACAGCTCGAGACGCTCATGAAGTAAGTTGATGTAAACAGATACTTCAACTTTTGGACGAGAAATGACTGACAATATCAGGGCCTCCATCACCTACGTCGTCTCTGTCGGATCCCACACCATCGCTAACAGGTATGTCCCCCCTTCTCCCTCTTCCTAACCTTTTCTAACAATCTCAGATTCATCCAAGACATCATGCTAGTCGACGACGAGCTCCCCATGGCCCTCGTCAACACAACCACCTCCTTCTTCGGCGTCGTCGCCGAAACCATCATCGTCATGATCTCCTCCAAATACGTCTCCGCCTCCATCCCCATCCTCATCCTCGTCCTCTTCGTCATCCAAAAGTTCTACCTGCGCACCTCCAAGCAGCTGCGTCTGATCGACATCGAGGCGAAAGCCCCGCTGTCTGCTTTCCTGCTTGAGACCCTGCAGGGCATTGTGTCTATCCGTGCTTTTGATCGGACGGGCGAGTTCTCGGCGAAGAACACGGAGCTGCTGAATTTCTCGCAGAAGGCGCATTACACGCTTGTGTCGGTGCAGGTGTGGCTGAAGATGATTTTGGATTTTGTGGTTACGCTGCTGGCCATTATGGTGACTACCCTGGCTGTGACGCTGCGGTCGGATCAATCGCTGGGTTGGTTGGGGTTGGCGCTCGTCAACTTGGTAAGTGGATGTGCTGGGGATATCATCTTCACAATGCTAATACTAGCCTCAGATCTCCCTCAGCACCAGCTTCAAGTACCTCATTACCTTCTGGGCCAACCTCGAAACCTCCATCGGTGCCGTCGCCCGTATCCGCCGCTTCAATCTCGACGTCGAGCCGGAAGAGATGTTCCAGCTGCCCCCGCCGCATCCGGCCTGGCCGACCGAGGGCGGTATCGAGATCGAGCGTCTGACTGCTTCCTACAGGTAAGACCATCTACTCCAAAGACTGGTATCGTTACCTTCTGCTAACACCGTACAGCCCGAACACCCCCCCAGCTATCAACAACATCAACCTGAAAATCGAGCCGGGCATGAAAGTGGCCGTCTGCGGGCGCTCTGGAAGGTGAGTTCCTTCTCCCTCCTCAACCACCCCAATCCTACCATGAATACCATACTAACCCTCCCCAGCGGCAAATCCTCCCTAATCGCCACCCTCCTGCGCTGCCTCGAACTCAACTCCGGCACTATCACCATCGACGGCCTGGACGTCTCCCGCCTCTCCCGCGATGCCGTCCGCAAACGCATCATGACCCTCCCACAAAAATCCCTCTTCATCCACGACTCCATCCGCGCCAACATGCTCATGTGGGACGATTCGGCCGCCCACGCCTCCCGCACCGAAGCCGAGACCGACCGGCTCATCGAGACCTTCCTCCGCAAGGTCGGGATCTGGGACGCGCTTTTTGCACAGAAACCTAGTCTTTATGACCCACCTGATGAGGGTGCCGCTGGTGCCCCGCCGTCGTTTGATCGGGAGATTGCTGTGGGTCAGTCGGCGGTGTCGGGGATTACGGAGATCAATGAGGATGTTAAGGGGCCGGAGTCGGTGGTTAGTGTTAAGGGGAAGGATGGGAAGCGGAAGTCGAAGGCGAAGTCTAAGCGCTCTTCTGCCGCGCACTCCACGGTGACAGCCAGCGTTACCGGCGTTCCGGGTAATCCAGACGAAAAGAAGAAGAAGAAGTCCAAATCCGATGATGGGACGGAAGGCAAAGACAAAGACGACGGCCCCGTAACCCTCTCCAGCCCGCTCAACCCCGAAGAACGTCTCTCTATCGGGCAGCAGCAGCTCTTTTGTCTTGCGCGGGGTCTCTTCCAGCGTGGGGACTCGCAGATTGTGTTGATGGATGAGTTTACGAGTAGTATGGACCATGAAACGGAGGCGTTGGTGCGGGATATTGTGGAGCGGGATTTGAAGGGGAAGACGGTGATTGAAGTGTTGCATCGGTTGGAGCATATTTTGGATTTTGATTTGGTGGTGGTGTTGGAGAAGGGGAAGATTGTGGAGGTTGGGCATCCGGAGGAATTGTTGCAGGATGAGGAGGGGTTGTTGAGGGATTTGTATCAGAGTATGAGGGGGTAGTTTTTTTATTTTCTGTCCGGCTTTTTTCTTGTCTTTCTTTGTTCTCGGGTATTTAGATTTGGGTAGTTGGCTGGTGTTGGTGGTGTGGTTTGTTGCTTACAGGTTGCACTCCAGGTTACCTTATTTTAACTTGCTCACTCATTAGCGTAAAAGTTTGAATTTGTTTATTATCATGCTTGTTATTGCTCAGTTATTACCGTGTATGAGAGTTTGCATGATGTTGATGATTCTTAGTATTAGTTACTCAAATGTTTAACATGTGTGAATTATAAAGTTCATAATACTTTTTCATTCTATTTTTATCAACCAGGAACGCCAAAGAGGGCATGGACGAGGCATTCGGCCTAGCGAAATGGGTGTCGGAGCGCGGGCGACATTGGGCTAGCGGGCTGCTGCGAGGGGGTAGGGGGGGGGGCAAAGCAGATGAGGAGGCGAGGGGCCGAGCGAAGGGCGATGTGGGAGGGAGAAAAGCCGAGAGTATAAGAAAGTTATCTCAGGATTTACCTCAGGATCTCAGCCACAGCTTTCGGCGCTTGGTTCGTGCAGAAGTACCCCGCCCCACCTACACCTACCCCACAATGTAGACCTATAAACAATGCCAGCTGGTCTAAGCGGATCCTTGGCAAAATCAAGAGTAGCTGTTACGCGGCAGGCCTGGTGAGCCCCACGAGACCCTGGCCTCGTGCGAACCTAGCCAAGCCTGGCCACGTTGGGGTCACCCTTGGTGCCCCATACTTTAGTACTTGGACTATTTAGACTCATGCTCTCCCCCTGCCTTTGGACATGGTGGTCGGTATATGAATACTACTACTGTCTGCTCTATTAGCCAGTGCCTTAGGTTACACTATTTACTCGGCCCCCCTTGACGCCCTTATCGTCAAGGCTAACGGCGGCCTCGAGAGCGGAGGCTTCGAGCTGTTCCGTGACATTTAGTGAATCCTTCTTAGAGTATAGTTGAGATCGATTCATTATGGCCTCCTACTTTTAGTTCCTTATATAACCATAGATATATTCGAGGTTATACCCTACTATAGTGCCTTGTACTATCATAAGTATGTCATGAATTACTGTCAAGGGCTCAGGCCTAGGGCCATGAGCAGTCGTGTTGGATCGTGGCCGATG